TCTCCATGTATAATACATAAGGGGGGATATGATCACCATGTATAATACATAAGGGGGGATATGATCTCCATGTATAATACATAAGGGGGGGATATGATCTCCATGTATAATACATAAGGGGGGATATGATCTCCATGTATAATACATAAGGGGGGATATGATCTCCATGTATAATACATAAGGGGGGGATATGATCTCCATGTATAATACATAAGGGGGGGGATATGATCTCCATGTATAATACATAAGGGGGGATATGATCTCCATGTATAATACATAAGGGGGGGGGGGGGGGGATATGATCTCCATGTATAATACATAAGGGGGATATGATCTCCATGTATAATACATAAGGGGGGGGGGGATGATCTCCATGTATAATACATAAGGGGGGATATGATCTCCATGTATAATACATAAGGGGGGATATGATCACCATGTATAATACATAAGGGGGGATATGATCTCCATGTATAATACATAAGGGGGGATATGATCTCCATGTATAATACATAAGGGGGGATATGATCTCCATGTATAATACATAAGGGGGGATATGATCTCCATGTATAATACATAAGGGGGGATATGATCTCCATGTATAATACATAAGGGGGATATGATCACCATGTATAATACATAAGGGGGGATATGATCTCCCATGTATAATACATAAGGGGGGATATGATCTCCATGTATAATACATAAGGGGGGATATGATCTCCGTGTATAATACATAAGGGGGGATATGATCTCCATGTATAATACATAAGGGGGGATATGATCTCCATGTATAAATACATAAGGGGGGATATGATCTCCATGTATAATACATAAGGGGGGATATGATCTCCATGTATAATACATAAGGGGGGATATGATCACCATGTATAATACATAAGGGGGGATATGATCACCATGTATAATACATAAGGGGGGGATGATATGATCACCATGTATAATACATAAGGGGGGATATGATCACCATGTATAATACATAAGGGGGGATATGATCTCCATGTATAATACATAAGGGGGGATATGATCTCCATGTATAATATATATACATAGGGGGGATATGATCTCCATGTATAATACATAAGGGGGGATATGATCACCATGTATAATACATAAGGGGGGATATGATCACCATGTATAATACATAAGGGGGGATATGATCACCATGTATATAATACATAAGGGGGGGGATATGATCACCATGTATAATACATAAGGGGGGGATATGATCACCATGTATAATACATAAGGGGGGATATGATCACCATGTATAATACATAAGGGGGATATGATCACCGTGTATAATACATAAGGGGGGGATATGATCTCCATGTATAATACATAAGGGGGGGATATGATCTCCATGTATAATACATAAGGGGGGGATATGATCTCCATGTATAATACATAAGGGGGGATATGATCTCCATGTATAAATACATAAGGGGGGATATGATCTCCATGTATAATACATAAGGGGGGATATGATCTCCATGTATAATACATAAGGGGGGATATGATCTCCATGTATAATACATAAGGGGGGATATGATCACCATGTATAATACATAAGGGGGGATATGATCTCCATGTATAATACATAAGGGGGGATATGATCACCATGTATAATACATAAGGGGGGGATATGATCTCCATGTATAATACATAAGGGGGGATATGATCACCATGTATAATACATAAGGGGGATATGATCTCCATGTATAATACATAAGGGGGGGGGATCTCCATGTATAATACATAAGGGGGGATATGATCTCCATGTATAATACATAAGGGGGGATATGATCACCATGTATAATACATAAGGGGGGGGATATGATCTCATGTATAATACATAAGGGGGGATATGATCTCCATGTATAATACATAAGGGGGGGGGATATGATCTCCATGTATAATACATAAGGGGGGGATATGATCTCCATGTATAATACATAAGGGGGGGGGGATATGATCTCCATGTATAATACATAAGGGGGGATATGATCACCATGTATAATACATAAGGGGGGGATATGATCACCATGTATAATACATAAGGGGGGATATGATCTCCATGTATAATACATAAGGGGGGATATGATCTCCATGTATAATACATAAGGGGGGGGGATATGATCTCCATGTATAATACATAAGGGGGGATATGATCTCCATGTATAATACATAAGGGGGGGCGATATGATCTCCATGTATAATACATAAGGGGGATATGATCTCCATGTATAATACATAAGGGGGGATATGATCTCCATGTATAATACATAAGGGGGGATATGATCACCATGTATAATACATAAGGGGGGATATGATCACCATGTATAATACATAAGGGGGGATATGATCTCCATGTATAATACATAAGGGGGGATTATGATCTCCATGTATAATACATAAGGGGGGATATGATCTCCATGTATAATACATAAGGGGGGATATGATCACCATGTATAATACATAAGGGGGGATATGATCTCCATGTATAATACATAAGGGGGGATATGATCTCCATGTATAATACATAAGGGGGGATATGATCTCCATGTATAATACATAAGGGGGATATGATCTCCAGTATAATACATAAAGGGGGGATATGCTCTCCATGTATAATGCATAAGGGGGGATATGATCTCCATGTATAATACATAAGGGGGGATATGATCTCCATGTATAATACATAAGGGGGGATATGACCCTGAGGTCATCACAAAGGACAAGGGGGCAAACTTTTTGTCTCTGGAGGAAAATAAATTAAATCTCCAAACATGGAAAGGTTTCTCCCTCAGAGTTTGGTTCTGGCCAGCTCAGTGTGGATTGCTTTAAAAAAAAAAAAAAGTCCTGGATTCTTTCTTGGATACACAGAATATAACTGGATATAACATTTATAGGTAAAAAGTTGATCCAGGGAATATCCGATTGCCTCTCGGGGATCAGGAAGGAATTTTTTCCTCTGCAGGAGCAAATTGGATCACGCTTTGCTGGGTTTTTTTTTTCCTTCCTCTGGATCAATGGTGGGTATAGGATTATAACTTTTTCTTTTTTTATGGTAGAACTGGATGGATTTTGTCTTTTTTTCAACCAGACTAACTATGTAACTATGTAAATATGAGAATGTTTGTGTTTTTAATTTTTAAAAAAGTGAGCATTTACAATCACTTTAACTGTTGGGAGCTGCAGCATGGAGGATTATTCCGCCTGCTCCGAAAATGAGTAATTAGTCCCATCTCTGTCCCTTGGCCCTGCTGCTCAACTGATGAGACACGGGGAACAATTTTTAAATTGCTGGGAGCCCCTGGAATTAATATGCATGTGCCCAAAGGTATCTAAGGAGTCCCATCTTTGCCTCCTGGACCCCCCCCCCCCCCCCCCGGCTAAACTGATGGGGCCTGTGTCCCATACAGGAGGTCTGGCTCTACCCCCCTATTGGTGGCCATGTGTATAGGTATGAGGGCTGAACTGATAAGCATTTGTGTTGACCTGTTTACCCTGAATCCCCACAATTCTACCAGTAAAGTCCATATTGGATATATTCCTGTACCTGTTCCATCTGGAAGCCTCAATAAAGTTCAGATGATGATTTGTCACTCACCATTTTTGTTATCACGGCTGGCAGAGTTGAGATCAAACTACGGAGGTGTAATCCTGAACGGGTGAAAAGAGAAGGGGCCCCTGCTCTCCGGGATTTTTATATCAGTTAGTATAAGTCTGATGAGTAAGCGAATGTCTTGTAACATTTGTTGGAACCTGAGTTACAAATTCACGGCGCACATTAAGAATGGATAATGTGTAACTGCCACATGTTCAGGGATTCCCCTGGACCGGCTCTCTCCACTTTCACAAAATGACTTTTTAATGATCGTGGGTTTCCGTGATTAATCTACGCGGCTTTCATACCGGAGGAAAAAACACAACACAGTGTCAGACCGTATTACAGAAGGCCGTATATGAAATGTCGGCAATTCTCAGGATGAGCTTTTCACAATGTTACAACTCTGTGTGGTGTCCCGCAAAATTCATTTTACTTTGTAATAAATGACTTCTGCGATAAAATCTTTATGGAGCGTCTGCAGTGAACGGTTACAGAACGGTGCGCTGAAAAACTGGGAAATTACCACATTTCCTCAATTGGGGAATAAAAAAAGGTAAAAAGTGCAGGATGTCAAATCAAATCTAGCAGCACCTAGGATCATGCAGTTTAATGTACCCATGATGGAACATCATTTTAAACCATGATGGAATCATATAAACCATGATGGGATCATATAAATCATAATGGAATCATATAAACCATGATGGGATCATATAAATCATGAATGGAATCATATAAACCATGATGGGATCATATAAATCATGATGGAATCATAAAAATCATGATGAGATCAAATAAAATCATAATGGAATCATATAAATCATGATGGTGTTGTATAAATCATAATGGAATCAAATAATCATGATAGAATCAAAAAATATTATGATGAGATCAACTAAATCATGATGGTACTGTATATAAATCATGATGGGATCATATAAATCATGATGGTATATATAAATCATGATGAAATCGTATAAATCATCTTGGTATCATATAGATCATGATTAGAGATGAGCGAAGTATTCAAAAATTCGATTCGGCTGATTCGGCGAATTCGAGGAATAAATTTGATTCGATGCGATATATATTCGCTGCGATTTAACTTATAAAAAGGGTTTCTAGGCTTCAGAGAGCCTTTATATTAGTGCAGAAACACTGTACCTTTAATTTAAATGCCATTGGAGTCTGCTGGGGAAGAGAAATAATACTGTCAGTCAGTATGACATGCAGATGAGTGCCGTCGATCTTAGAATCACCGCACACTTCACTCATTTGGGCAGTCACGGGGCCAAAAAACCAGAGTGTGGAGCCACAGTGTGGCGGTGGAGGCAGCAGCAATGGGAGGCCATACAGCACCCTATGACAAAAATGGAACCCACCAGCAGTGTGAGGAGACCTGAAAAGTGGCACATGGCAGAGTGTGGCGATGGAGACAGCAGCAATGGGAGGCCGTACAGGGACCCATGAGAGACTCTGGACCTGGCAGCAGCATGAGGAGGTGGTACGGGGGCCCATGGCAGATTACGGGCCTGGCAGCAGCAATGGGAGGCCCGTAATCTGCCAGCCACCCTATGACAAAATGGAACCTACCAGCAGTGTGAGGGAGACCTGAAAGTGGCACATGGCAGAGTGTGGTCGATGGAGACAGCAGCAATGGGAGGCCGTAACAGGGACCCATGAGACACACATCTGGACCTGGCAGGGACCATGACAGCATGAGGAGGCGGCGGTACGGGGGCCCATGGCAGATTACAGGGCCTGAGGCAGCAGCAATGGGAGGCCCGTAATCTGCCAGCACCCTATTGACAAAATGGAACCCACCAGCAGTATGTGCGGAGACCTGAAAGTGGCACATGGCAGAGTGTGGCGATGGAGACAGCAGCAATGGGCGGCCGTACAGGGACCCTCATGACACACTCTGTGGACCTGGCAGCAGCATGAGGAGGCGGTACTGGGGGCCCATGGCAGATTACGGGCCTGGCAGCAGCAATGGGAGGCCCGTAATCTGCCAGCACCCTATGACAAAATGGAACCCACCAACAGTGTAAGGAGACCTGAAAGTGGCACATGGCAGAGTCTGGCGATGAAGTCAGCAGCAATGGGGAGGCCCGTA